TTCATAGTTTTCATATTATTCATATATGTATATATTTACAACAGTATAAGTAAACAAATAAAACCTGCAGAAAACACACATCTTTAAACATTTAGCGATTATAAAAATTATCTTTACTTTATGCTTTAATAAATTTATTATAATTGTATATTTTTTGTAATAAATGTGTAGATTTTATTTGAAACTAGAAGACCCGGCGAACTTCGTATCGCCCTATAATCAAGAAATATCTATTACGTTTTTTTATTTATATTTTTGGAGTTTACCTGTAAGCCATAAATCTCCGTGTTTTGAAGTGCGACAGAATGATTGACATATTAGTTAGTTGTCAAATCTAATGTCAAAAAAACGTTTGTATGGGAAATAGAAAAGGGCTGTTTTTATGGTTTTCCCAGTAAAAAATCATTTTCTTTCAGCTTTTATACCTTCCCTGAACCTCCACGAACATTTCAAGACTAAGATTAGATAAATCCGTTCAGCTGTTCTCGAGTTTTAGCGAGACTAAGGAACAGCAATCCATCTTTATATATATATATAGAAGATAAACAAATTTATATTGATATTCATTAAGTAATGAACCAGTATAGGGCTTCATCATTTACGTGGTCGTCGTGGGTTCATATTTATGTATACCACAATAGTTATTGTCGATGTCTGATTACCATTTGATGTTGAAACCAGCCTCACCTATGTGTCGTTATAAATGAGACGATAAATCTTGTAATGCAGATGAATCATTAAATTATAATGACATGTACACGGGTGGGTCTCGCACTTAGCATAGTAATTAAGGAAATTGTAAGGAATATTATATAAATAGAAGAAAAAATATCATTAATTTAGTACTGAATATGAAATCGGTTTCGGCGTAAAAAAAATCGGTCACAAAATTATCATTAGTTTAGTACTGATATATCTGCATTAGAAGGAATATATGAGGAATTTTCAACAGTATGAAATCGGTTTCGCTGTACAAAAATCGGTCACAAAATAAATAGGAAATCTTCCAAAATATTAAATCGGTTTTTCAGTAATTAAATCGGTCACAAATAAATAAAAAAATTGTTCATAAATATGAGTTGTGATTTTAAATTTTTAGTTGCTATTTTTTTAAATTAACGGATTTCAAAATACCTATTATTTGTAATTTATATATAGTAATAATTGTAATATTACAGGTTGTCGTGTAAATATTTAAGTTATTGATAATGTTATCAAATAACTGTTGATAACACAGAGGTTCTTAAACTCTGAGTTTACTGTAATCATATATATACTTTTCAGGTAAATTGATAAAAATTGCTACCTTTAAATGAAACTAATATTTTTCGGATTATACTACGCGGTTTATTTTTGACTATAAACTACATACTGCCGATGTTTCGGTTACTTTACAGCAACCGTGAGCACGGACAGACGAGATGTGAATGTCATAATCTCACTGTAAAATGTATTATATAAAATTTTATTAAATGTGACTTATGCTATCTTTTTAGTGTAAAAATAATGTAGGTTCAATTTAAGTATAAGTATTTCTACCATATATTCGTATCGCTATACTACGTATCGAAAGTTTTATTATTTTTTTCATCTATAAATTTCTTCACAAAATAATTGCGTCATTAGTTTATGAATGAAAACTGGTAAACGCTTCGTAATCAATGAAACTAACCTCTGAAGAGCCTTAAGGGTACTCAACTAAGCTCACTAAGTTAACTGTCACGAAGGTTTCTGTATACTTTTTATTGGTAAGCCTTTGTTGATATATTAACAAAGAAAGACATAGAAATATGAAATGTTCAGACACTCTTAATAAACACAGGGTACTAGGTTCAAAGGAAATCTATCAACGAGCTTTATAAGCGAAACGTTTTATTAATCTTTTGCACTTAAATTAAATTTTAAATAATCCTATGGCTATGGAAATATTATACCTAATACTTCGTTAAAAATTGATTTGTTGAAAGTTTTAACTCAATATATTATAACTTTTTATTCAAATATTCTATACGTAAAAAATACAAAACGACGGAGCCACTGGGTGCCTGGTGTGATTGAGGGTGTGTTAAATATATTACCTAACCAGTGTTTAACCTGATACACCAGAACAAAAAACTGGGACCGACTCTGGCATAGGGACGAGGGTGGAGGGGGTTACGACAAAAGGAGAGGGGGGGGGGTTTAGTTTGGGATGCGTCTCTCTGCCTAATACATAATGCTATGATGCCCCCTCCCTACCCGGCCTCAGTCCCCTTATTATCGATCTCTGGATTATCCGAGAGGTCGCTCGATGGCCGGCGCCTGCGCACGCGCCTCTGACCCCACGTGATCCAAACGAGATGCCATTTGCCACAGTCACGACCGCCTCGCTTATGTTATACCGTGTCACGACTTGCCCTCATTAATTAATATTATCGGATTGTTGTACACATTTGAATACCGTCCTAAATGTATTGTTAATATACATACGTATGTCATACATAGATAAGTAGTTGGTTTTGAAGACTGGTATTCACGTATAAAAAGTATACATGTTACATTTTAAATATACTTTTACTAGATATAAAATAAATATGCAATTTAAACGAACAAAGAGATGATATTTTTGATGTTCATTCATAATTAATATATTCCTTTAATATTCGACTTAATTTATATGAGAAGTCTTGTATCTCATTCATATAATTTTGAATAGACTTAAAAAGCTATACGGTTGAGTTAGTTCTCTTTTCAATCATAATCAGCCTTTACGAGCCCACTGCTGAGCAAAGGCCTCTTCTTACATGGAGAAGGTAGACCATTTATCACCACGCATGCTGAAGACGGGTTGGCGATTTCAAACTTATAATTCTTCTTCCTATTCTTTTCAATAACAATTACTAATATGTGGGGGGAAGAGAGATCTGGCTACTTCCTAATCATTCAATCGATTCAGTTACTAGATACAAGTCACATCTATTCGTTAATTGAAAGCGTCTTCAGAACATGAAATACAAATCAATACAGATTACTTGATTGATGATTGTAACTTGAAATTTTGGCAACGTTTACCTCCTTATATAATGAATTATGTTTACATTGATTTATTTGAGATTCACGACTTTGAATTGTTATATATAAATTAACATCATCTAAATCTGCTAAAAGTTACGTGAAACGAGTTCTACACGAGTTCTATTTATTTTCCTTCCACATTACAAATTTCTAAATTGCTGTCTGATATACTTTAAATTAGTGCATCTAATACAAAGACATTTTATTAAAGTTTACATCAATAGAACATCATAGATCTATACTTCTAGTACTGATAGTCACTTTTGGTATATATTATATTTTTGAAAAATGAACCTAATCAGCACAATAAACTAAGTCAGCGAGACGTGTCTTGTCACCAGCTCTTCCCACGGGAAAGTGAGTTGTTTGTTAAATTACGATCACCCGATGTACATCAACTACACTCAACAATATCTGTTACGATAGAGCTTAGATTGTACTCACTCACGTGTATACAATATAATTTATATAAACAGACTAGTTTTTGTCCGCGACTTCGTCCGCGTTAATTTCTTCATTAGTAATATATGTATAGCTGACCGGGCGAACTCTATTCCGTCCTAGAGGCCATAAATAATCAGGTTTTTCCTGTTTCAATTGAACAGAATGATTGACATGTTAGTTAGTTGTCAAATCTAATGTCAAAGAAAACATTTGTATGGGAAATAGAAAAGGGCTGTTTTTAGGATTTTCCCGAATATGAATCAATTTTTCTCACCTTTTAAACCTTCCCTGAACCTCCACGATCATTTCAAGACTAAGATAAGATAAATCCGTTCAGCTGTTCTCGAGTTTTAGCGAGACTAAGGAACAGCAATCCATTTTAATATATATAGAAGATCATTGATTCAGATTATTTAGAAAAAATATAAGTATGAACTTAAATGTTATGTATAGAGTTAATTTTCTACCATTGTTCTTCAATGGTATATTGATCGGCCAATACATATGTATATCATTCGGCGAGTGTTGGCTTGTATCCTTGAGAGCCATTATTGCCGATGATTCGGTATTGCCGTCATTCATTGCGGCAATTGCTGTTCAAGTGGTGTGCTGTGCCGCTCTATCGCCGGCCAGCGGATAAAGTATCTTAAAGGTAAAACGTGCAACCACAGATTTATATGCATTTATAGAAGTAATGAAATCGTATAGGTAGATGTTTATAGATGTGTGTTCAAAAAAATTAAACTAATAGTTTTCGGATTATACTACGCGTATATTATTAGTGTAAAAACTACATACTCCCGGAGTTTCGGTTACTTTTCAGTAATCAGCAACAATCCGAAAAATATTAGTTTCATTTAATATAAACTAGCGAAAACCTTAGATTATATATTTAAATATTTTATTTATATTGATTAAAAACTCATCTATCCGTCTTTATAACATCTTAACTCGAAGTAAAGATATGAAATATATTACATACGGCATAACGAAACCCTCGATCAGTTCTGATTCGAATGGTAAGGAAAGCTATAAAACATTAATCGGCGACGGAGATCGTAAAAGATACTCTTTAATGGCTTCTTGATCAGCGAGATCCATAAAAATTATCACATGATATATTATTTGATGTGTTTATGGAAGATACCGGAAGACCATCTTGTTAGCCCCATACGCTATCCTACTCTCCAAAGAATTCTTTTGATGCTGACTGACACGTGTCGCTGAAATTAGTCAAAACATCTTTGTACTATTATCAAGCATGACGTCGCGACGCCAACAACAGCTTGTTGTTTTTTAATTGAAACACGATTATTCGTGTAACTATTACACATGTATCTCTCGGGTACAGTACGTCCGTTGTCAGTTATGTACATAGATAGCGATCGTTAATCAGTTTCCATTCCTCAAACCGGCCAACGGATCTATGAAACGAATATGTTTTTTATTTGTTTACGTGTTGTGTGATAATTTCGCTATTATCTCGTTCGTCAATGAACGTTCTACTCTCGACTCGCGTGCCCCGGATCGCCGTCTTCCTGACACCGTTCGCTCGCTGATGAGCTCCTTGTGTTATCTTCTAACATGTGGAGCCTGCAGCGGTGCATGATGCGTTTGAGGAGCGTCAGGGGGGAGACGCGCGCGGTGGGAGGGGGGGGGGACTGCGCCGAGGCCTGGGGGACGTAGCACGCCGCTCCGCAGTCATTCGCACCGCGCACGCTGCGAGTGTCGCCCGCGTGTACCGCGTCCTTCCCGTGTTTAGTGTTTTTTTTTCGTCGTTCGTGGGACGCTAGTCGTCGTTCTCGTACAACACCGCCGGTGTAAAAATAAAGCCGGCGACAGACGACAGTGAGTCCAGTTAAATTTAAATGATAGCGCGGACTGCGTTCAAGTCTCGCCTGGGACTACCGAGGGCCGCGACATGAGACTAAGTATGTGAAAACATCGTCTTAATATCTGCTTAGTTGTAGTGCTTTATATGTTCTGTTCATATAGATGTGTTTGGTTGTGTTATATAGGTGATCGTTTTATGTACTCTTAATAGAGGCCGTAAGTAGAGATCACAACAAAAATATTAGATAAATTCAATGAAATATATCTATTATAATTTGCAGTTTATTAGGTCGTTTTTGATTTTAAATTTAAATAAAACTTTATTTTCATCATTAGATATCAACCGTTCAACTGGACTTATTTGGTTATAACTAGAACGTTTCTTTCACATACAAAGTGTTTTGAAAATGATTTATTCCAGTTTATCGAACCCGTCCGCTTCATTTACTACGTCCGTCTCCACGAGATATTGTTACATCAATGAACAATCAATTCTATATACATACGACCTCTCATTAACATGTAATTAAAACTAGGTTAATGATTAAAATTTTAATGATAGTCTGTACATTTATTTATAACGTGTCTTGTTCAATATATCTAATATTTCGTGTATAAGTTCATATCTACCTGGTCCATCCTTGTCATTGTTAGCGCCTATTGTTGCATCAAATTCCCCATCGGAGCCCGTTTCGAGGCGAGGTACCTGTTTCAACCAAAAAACTAAACCTATTCACATTACTAATATATCATATATATTCATCGATGCATTTAGATTCCAGGTATAATTATTAGCATTCAATTAGTTGATAATCATTAAGTGTTTCCTGAAATTAGATAAGATTTTGGACGTAAATATATTTATTTTATTTACAAGGAAGTAGTATCAAAGACGTTCTCGTGGCAGGAAACATCGTGAGTATGATATGAGCCACTGATCCATTTCTGTGCGAGGATGTCAAACTTCCTACAGCCTGCGAATAACCAGAAACAGTATTCTAATATTGATCTCATTTTAACCGCGTTTATACTACAAATATTTGTTTATAATGAAATTTAACCACTTACATTATTATAGTTTTAGTTTCTTTTATATATTAAATTTTTAGTATTCATGAGAATTTATGTTAAATATTTCTAGAAACTCATTAAATTTTATATATATCGTGATTCATTCATATTGTTATTATACAAGAAAATGCATTCATTACGGAACTGATATTTACCTGTTATGCTATTTGTAATACAAGTACAATTATTGAAATTTAAAAATAATAAAAAATATATACTAATAATGTATATTATAAAGGAAATAACTGCAGTGAGGTTGTATACGATATAGATGAAACGAACTAAATGAGACTGGGCAATCAATTGTATTTGATATTCATTGATCCTATAAAACCCGACTTGAATCATTGTAGCAATGATCGTACTAATAACTTTGAACATATGAAGCCATTAGTTTCTCATACTTAATATAATTACAATAATTATACGTGGAACATGACGTATGTTGATTCATCACCTCCAGTTTCTATATATCCTTGTGTATGTACTCACATAAACCAACCATGTATATATTGATTATAATAAAAATAAATTACATGTTTATTGTAGTAAAGATTACAGAATGATTTGATTACTTGACTATAAAGGATAACCTAAATATTTATTTTTATATGTATTTATATCTTATCGTTCGTGGAATCTTACCTTTCTTTATTTAATTACTAGCTTTACGCTCGCAGCTTCGCCCGCGTGGATTTCGGTTATGTCGAGTTTCCAAGAGAACCTTTCATAAGTCTGGGCTAAAAACTATCCTATGTTCTTTCTCAAGGACAACTCTATGTCTGTACCAAATTTCATTAAAATCAGTTCAGTGGTTTAGGCGTGAAAGCGTAACAGACAGACAGACAGACAGAGTTACTTTCGCATTTATAATATTAGTAGGGATATTATTTGATTGGGTTCGTATAGTTTGTACATGACTCTTGTTTCAACTTCCTTGTATTCTATTTCTTTGGTTATTTGTTAACGAATAATTGTCGGTGTGATTGTACTATTGTTGTACAATTGTGTACATTTTTTGTACATCTGTGTACAGTTTACATCCGTTGCTGTGGCCGCCAGCCAAGTTCACCTAGGTCATGTCGGCATATATTATTGCATCTTTTATTTGTTGCTTTATCATTCGTGAATTAATTGTAGTTTCTGTAAATTTATACTAAAATATGAAATAATTAATCATCAAATATTGTCATACAATACTCCCCCGTGTACATACTGTTTAAATTTTTTCTATGTAATTTATAAAAATAATGTATTGAAAGCGTGTAAACTTATCTATTGAACTATTGTTACAGAATGTTAATGAATGTATTTCAAAAATTACTTCATATATGTATATATTTTTAATTAGAATTTTACAGATTTCTAACAAGGGTGCTTATTTCTTTTTTTGTTTAACACAAGCTCTTACAGTACCTTTAAATTTGTTATGTTTAAAAAATATTTAAATTTTCATCTCTTTATTTTATTTGTTCCCTAGTTACTTTACAAATATGTATTAAATATATCAACATTCACATCTCGTCTGTCCGTGATCACGGTTGCTGCAAAGTAAACGTTGGGAATATGTAGTTTTAAAATAATAAAATAAGCGTAGTAATCCGAAAAATATAAGTTTCATTTTAAAAAATGCTCGTTGAAGTCTTAGATACATACAAGTTAATACATAATAATATTACGAAATAATTTTATTAACTAAAATTCAAGCATAATGACCGAAGCTTTAGCTTTATAAACTCTAACAGTCTGATGATATTAGGGAAGTTTAGAATTAAATCTATCTCAATAAATATATCAACAATATAACTTGTATTCATAATCCAACAATAAAATTATAAAGTACTAGTTTTTGCCCGCGACTTCGTCCGCGTTAGTTTGGTCAAGAGTAATATATGTAGGTATAGCTGACCAGGCGAACTCTATTCCGTCTTAGAGGCCATAAATAATCAGGTTTTTCCTGTTTCAATCAAACAGAATGACTGACATATTAGTTAGTTGTCAAATCTAATGTCATTAAAAAAACGTTTGTATGGGAAATAGAAAATGGGATGGTTTTAGGGTTTTCCCGGCAATTATTCAAATTTTTCTCACCTTTTAAACCTTCCCTGGACTTCCAGGAGTATTTCAAGACTAAAATTAGCCAAATCGGTTCAGCGGTTCTCGAGTTTTAGCGAGACTAAGGAACAGCAATCCATTTGTATATATATAGAAGATTTAACCGATTTATAAACTCGTATAACAACAGATCGGTCTGACCATATTAGAGAAGTTTCAAATATCACTTGTATATTATTTAGTATCTAACCGATGTGTTATTACTCGTGTTGCAGGTCGGGGCATAGTGTGCGAGTGCTCGGGGCCGAGCGCCTGCCCCGACGGCTCGTCCAACGGCACGTGCTCCACGCAGCCCGGCGGGTACTGCTACGTGACGGTGGAGGAGGTGCTGGACGAAGGAGGACTCGTGGTCGTGGAGAGGATCGCGGGCTGTCTGCCGCCCGACGAGTCGGGGTTCATGCAGGTCAGCTGACATACATACATACATACATACATATATACATACATACATACATACATGTAGTAGTCTTTGTTATGAATGGCTGTATGGGCCTTGTTCTGAACGAAACGAACTCAACCAAAAAAAAATCTTTGTTGTGAAGAAATTATTTTAGAAACTCCTAAATTAATGAAGCTTAATAAAGCAGCGTCAAATCTAATTCATTCCGTTTGTTCATTTCAGTGTAAAAGTTCCCAAGTGCCACACCAACACCCCAAAGTGATAGAATGTTGTGAGAAGGACCTCTGTAACCGTCGGCTCCGGCCCGTGCTGCCGGCCGGCTCGGAGGACTCCCCGCCCGCCCTGCCCGCGCCGCCATCCAGCCCCGCCCCGCCCGCCCTGGTGGCCGCCGCCCTGTGCGTGGCGCTCCTCGCCGCCCTGGCCGCCCTGTGGCTGCTGCTGCGGCGGAGGCGCGCGGGCAAGAGGCCTCCCTCCCCGCCCGTCCTCACCGACCACACGGAGATCTCGTCCGGCTCCGGCTCCGGCCTGCCGCTCCTCGTGCAGCGGACGGTCGCCAAGCAGATACAGATGGTGGAGTCCATAGGGAAGGGCCGCTACGGGGAGGTGTGGCTGGCGCGCTGGAGGGGGGAGAGGGTCGCCGTCAAGGTGTTCTTCACCACCGAGGAGGCCAGCTGGTTCAGGGAGACGGAGATCTACCAGACGGTGCTCATGAGGCACGAGAACATACTCGGGTTCATCGCCGCGGACATCAAGGGCACCGGCTCCTGGACACAGATGCTGCTCATCACCGACTACCACGAGCACGGCTCGCTGCACGACTACCTGCAGCTGCACGTGCTGGACCCGCACACGCTGCTCACCATGGCCTACAGCATCGTGAGCGGCCTGGCGCACCTACACATGGACATCTTCGGCACTAAGGGCAAGCCGGCCATCGCGCACCGGGACATCAAGAGCAAGAACATACTCGTGAAGAGAGACGGCCAGTGCGCGCTCGCGGACTTCGGGCTGGCCGTGCGGTACGTGGCCGAGAGGGACGAGGTGGACCTGGCGCCCAACACGCGGGTCGGCACGCGCCGGTACATGGCGCCCGAGGTCATCGACGAGAAGCTCGACCTCGCGGACTTCGAGGCCTTCAAGATGGCCGACATGTACTCGCTGGGGCTCGTGCTGTGGGAGATGTGCCGGCGCTGCGCGGCGGGCGCGGGGGCCGGGGCCGTGCGCGCCGAGCCCTACGCGCCGCCCTACCACGACCGCGTGCCGCCCGACCCCAGCTTCGAGGACATGCACGCGCTGGTGGTGGTGGAGCGCGCCCGGCCCGCGCTGCCGCCCCGCTGGCGCCACGCCCCCGCCACCGCCGCGCTGGCCGGCCTCATGGCCGAGTGCTGGCACCACAACCCGCCCGTCAGACTCACGGCGCTGCGCGTCAAGAAGACGCTCGCCAAGTACCGCGCCGAGGGAGACGTCAAGCTCGTGTGAGCCCCGCGGCCCGCCTCGTGTCCGTGTCGTGTCCGTGAGCTGGTGTCCATATGTCTTCCGTGCCGGGTGTCGGGTGGGCGCCGGGGGGTCCGCGCCGTCATATGTGATACTGCGACAATAACAGAGATATAATATTTTGATATTATTCCGTGGGACCGAGCGAGCCTCGCTCGCCTGTAGATGTACTTAACGTGAAGGGTCGCTAGTAGTATTACCGTGAGTGGTGTCCGTGTCACTCGTTGTACTTGTGTCGGTCACCAGGTGTCTCTGGCCCGTTCGTGGCCTGAACTGTTGTCGTTACACAAGTATTGTATATAAATGTACAAATGTTCAAGAAGCGAGTGAGCGATCGCTAGCATTTAGTGTGCGCGTGCGCACCTGTACAGTGTTGTGTATATATAGTGTTGGATTAGTGTAAAAAATGTTGCTATTAAGTTAAAAATAAAAAATATTAATGGACCTTTTGTATTTCACTCGATACAAACCCTCCCTTGTGATCGTACTCCCGAAGACATCAGCCTCCTTTTATTAGACATGTATATGATGTAGGACATTGTATGATAAAAGCTCCTTCAATTAAAACCCTAGATTTACTCTAAATTTCAAAAAACAGAATTCAAGGCAATCTTAATTACCTTTTTCTAAACATTAAGTAATATAGAGAAAGAAATATAAAGAATATCAACAAAAGTATGCAATTTTGTAACACAATCCTAATTCAAATTTTGTCATGAACTTTTACATCATTTCCTCGCAATGCGTTGGTCATTCAAGTTAAAGAATTTTTTGTGAAGCAAAACATTTAAAAGTTATTCTGGCTATTCTTTAATGACAAAAATGAACTTAAATTACTGCTAACTTGTTTTCTAGCTCTAAATCATAAAAGGAAAGTAAGAGGAACAAATAAACATCTTACAGATATTGATTCAGTTTGAAAACAGAATTACATATTTTATTCTTTGGTTGATTATTATCAGTGTTGCCATTTGTAAAAATTATTATTTACTACGAAAGAGACAGAAATTCAACACTTTATTGAATGTAATGTATTCCCAAATCATTTCAAAAGTATAAAATGTGAATAACATTTTTCTTAAAACTTCTTCCAACTCCTACTATTTTCTTCTATTTGATATTTTTTGTGTAACAGTTCTGTAGTTATGGTTAGAAGGTATTTTATAATATATGTATTTGAGATCGCAGTTTATTGACTGTACTTATTATTTTATTTTAGGGAAACAAACAATAAGATAAACTTATGGGATATGAATATACAAAATTACATATATCAGCTAAGTTTCCACTGGTAATTAGACACATATTATTAAAATTAAAAAAGACTAACATACATAAAATCAAACATTAAAAACGTATACTGACGAATTTCTTCGGCAGTTATGAATAAAATCTAACATAAATATAATTCAATATTAGACAATAGGAAACTGTTAATTATTTTATATAAGAAAACTGGTCTCTAGCTTGTTCTGTTCGACGTTCTCTTAGGTAAGATTCTATCCTCCGAAGCAAATCAGCGTGTATAGCAAAATTTCCAAGTTTTTTTACTAATAAAGTAGGTATAAGATAATTTATCGAAAGCTTTAGAAAAATCAGTATAAACTACATCCATTTGACCACCATCCTCCATTACTCTAGCTACTCGATGAGTGAATTCACACAGATTAGTTTCTGTGGATTTTTTGCTTATAAAACCATGCTGTTCCGGAATTAGGTGAGGTCTAATAAAAGGATAAATTTCAGCATAAATAATTTTTTCAAATAGTTTTGCTCTTGTATTAAGTTTAGAAATCGGTCTATAATTTTGAATGTTATGTTTATCACTGGTTTTATAAATTGGAACTACGTAGGACTCTTTCCAGACTTGGGAATTTTACTAGAACTGAGAGACAACTTAAACATAATTAACAGAGGTTGAACAAAGGATTTATAGCAAGATTTTAAGAAAATAGATGGTATACCATCGGGACCATATTCTTTATTAATATCTCATAAATGTTAAGATAATTTTTGATTGATTCAATTGATAATTCAATACAACTAGATATATACTCGTTACTAATATGTGTAACAGTAGCTGGGCTAGAGATTGATTGAACATTTACAGCCTCGAAAGAAGACTGAAAAAAAATTGTTAAACATATTACAAATTTCAGAGCCATTTGAAGAGTGTGTCATTTAGATACATGGAACTTGGCATTTGATGTGATGTTTGTTTCTGTTTAACAAAATTCCAAAAAAAACTTACTATTATGTTTAATGATTCGTTCAGCATGTTTAATGAAATTATCGTAGCATTCAATTTGAACAGACTTTTGGCGTTCTCTTAATAAGATAAATGTTTCATAGTCACTTGATCTTTCATAGACTTTCCATTTTCGATGATACTTAAGCTTTTCATTTATATTTTTTATTAAAGCCTTTGAGTACCAAGGGGGGTAACGAGTGCCATAAGGTTCGTATTTAATAATATTTATTATTTCATAAAATTTACTAACAGCAATATCTATATCATCAGAATCTAAGGTATGGGTCCAATCAATTTGCAAAAGTTCAAGGTTAATTGAATCATAATCAGCAGCCTTAAATATTGGTATAGTACTTGAAAGGGGACGTAGTGAACTAAAACTTGGACAAAAGGTATGAATCAACAAAGCGGGATGGTAACCATCTTCCTCAATAAAAGGATCAGCACAATGACAGACTGTACACTGATTTCCACTCATCACCAAGTCCAATTGTCTATCGTTTACGTTCAATGTCAAATTAAACTAAGTGAAATTAGTAAAACTAACAAAGCAATACAAATATTAGGCCAGTGCAGATGCCTCTAAAAATGATGAAAAGTGAAAATAAATTATAGTAAAATGAAACCCATTAAAAAAGGAGGGGAATATTATAAAAATTAAGGGAAAAATAATTTGTGGGCGATCTGAGGTCGGGAAGGGTACGGGCGTGGGTATTTAAGGGTAAAAAATGGGTTTTCTCGATTTCCGGAAAAACTAAGAGTCCTAATGAAAAATGTTATATGGCAAACTTGTAGGTAATAAAAAGATGTAAAACTTTTGTACTTACACTTTTTTCACATAACCTGAAAATTTATGTGATAAATTCGAAAAACCAAGTTTTTGGTTTTTCATTTTTATCTCTCACAAAAAACAATTATTTGTCACGAAATTTAGTGAAAACTTTCCTTTTGATGTTACAAATGCACTGTAATTTATTTGGTAAGAAATGTTTATTTTTTCAAGTTCTTTGAATAAATACCTAAAAATCAGCCTCATTTTCAATCGAAAAATCACCCGTCAAAATATCAGCGTTTTTCAAAAATTTGGTGTGTTTTCTGTTCGTTGAAATTTGGATAAAATAATCATGTCTTTTTTAATGAAATGACACTCGACATCAGTTTAAAAATGCTCTTTCTAATATATTTTTAATAGTTGTGTACTCTGGAAGTTGTCAGATAGTCCCTCTTTTAGGTAATTTACAAAAAGTTGACATTAAGCTGCTAAAATTACTCAAAAATAAATTGAAAGAGCATGATATTTTGATGGGTGATTTTTCGATTGAAAATGAGGCTGATTTATAGGTATTTATTCAAAATAAGCTGAAAAAATAAATATTACTTACCAAATAAATTACAGTGCCTTTGTAACATCAAAAGGAAAGTTTTCACTAAATTTCGTGATAAAAAATTGTTTTTTATAAGAGATAAAAATAAAAAACCAAAAACTAGATTTTTCGAATTTATCACATAAATTTTCAGGTTATGTGAAAAAAGTGTAAGTACAAAAGTTTTACATCTTTTTATTACCTACAAGTTTGCCATATAACATTTTTCATTAGGACTCTTAGTTTTTCCGGAAATCGAGAAAACCCATTTTTTACTCTTAAATACCCACGCCCGTACTCTTCCCGACCTCAGATCGCCCGTAAATTATTTTTCCCTTAATTTTTATAATATTCCCCTCCTTTTCTAATGAGTTTCATTCTTCTATAATTTAATTATGTTTTAAAAGCTATCAGTACTGGTCTATATCTGATTAAGAGGTCATTACTGTAATTATTAATTAAGTTAGTATTTCCAGAGAGATTAGGTAAGCTCCATTTTCCATTGCTAATATTGAAGTCACCAATAATCAGAAATGTATCGCAAGGTTTATTCGTATATGTATCCGACATCATTTCAAAAAATTCAAGCAACGTATCTGATTGGAGGCAAGAATGCGGAAAATAGCAGCAGTATATACGCAAATTGGAGCTAGGTTGGCTATTTAAATTAATAATTATTTCCAGTACTTCAGCTGCTGCACTAGATAACATAATAGACTTATATGAAGAGACAGAAAACTCACGTTTTACAGCTATGAGTACTCCACCGCCCATTTTATCACCTCTCGAGTTATAATCTCGGTCGCACCGATATACATTATATCTGAAGTCAAACAACTCAGCATCATAAACACCAGAGTTTAACCAAGTCTCAGACAAACATATTACATTGAAATCAGACATCATCATATTCCTGAAAAAGTCATTGGTTTTCGTTCTAAGCCCACGAACAATCTGATAATAAATAGAAATATTATTTGCAGCCATTGAAAAATAAGGAATCAATACACGTAATAAAAGCTCTTATAAGGGTTTTTTGATTTTTCTGCCAAAATACAACATAATAATAATAATAGAATACATTATTATTAATTATAAGAAAACAATCGTTTGTTATTAAATATAAATATTTGAAGATTGAAAAAATAAGCCGTAGCTGGATAAAAAATTATATGGTAAAGTCATGACAACTTTTATGAGAAAAAAACTGTAGCCAATAATGAATAACAAAATTAAGGATATAAACAAATAACAAAAGCCTAATACCATATATTATAGGCTTATAAGTATCATAGTTCTTATTTTATTTTGTTTAAATCTTTTTCGCTTGAGATGTGCACAATAGGACTTGTATCATTACGGCGGACCAT